GCCGGTAACGGGATGTTCTTGTCGGAATAGTTCAGGTTGAATGGTTCCATGGCGTAGGATACGGCTAATATTGAATAAAGTGCTCAACTAATCGAAAGGAGCGTATCATAAATTAAATTACGATGTATCAGTATTAGTAGATATTGTGCTCAATGCATAAGCTGTAGAGCGTTGTATAGTATAATGTATTCCGCAATGTTTTCTTGTGGCTTGGTTGTTACTCTGAGTTTCGCGCCCTATGGCGGTCATTAGACAACTGGCAGCCTTAGGTTTTTACTTGATGTTATACCCATTTGTCACCTGTTTCTATCCCTTTCATATTTAGATTTATTGTGACGGCACTTAGTGATGAGCTCGTTTCTTTTGTTAATTGTGTTGGGTTCTTTGTTGCATAGGATGGCTAGTTTTTCTTCAATGCATAGGTTACATTGCCCTGAATTGCGCATGTGTGTATTTGATTTCTTCTCCCACTTTATTGCATATTCATGACCTTTTCTTTTTAGTTGCCATATGTGTTTTGAGAGTTCTGTTTCTTTTTCGTATTGTTCGTGTCTAAACGATTTCGTGTGGTTGTTATACCTTTGCTTCAAAGGTCCTCCTGACAGGCCTATGTATGTTTTTGTGTTTTCTTGTGTTGTTATAGTGGCTCTATATACTAGGGCACTGATTAGGCATTTACCGTTTAATGGGCAGTTCTCGCTATTTCTGCAGTTGCATGACTTACTGGGTGTTTCTTCTTTGGTTTTGTTGATGATTTTTGAGTTGTGTGCACTGTTCATAAGAAAATTGATAACACGTTTAATTATGAAGGAATTTTTTTATGGAATAGTATGCCGCGTGATGTTTTAATTAACTGCCTCTTCTCTTTTTTAATGTCAAAAATGATAATTGTTTGGGCCCATTTAAATCAACGTGCCACAGTTTTATTGCTTGTGATGTTATTTCTATTGTTATTATTTAATATTATCATTATGATCATTTTTTCTTTGAAATGATTTCATGGAACGAAATAAATATTACTTACAGTATATTGGTTTTGAATCTTGCAAAGCATATAATAAGATTAAATAATAACAATATGTCGGTATTATATAGCGTTCTACTAAACTACCGGTATATCTCAGAGACATTATCTTTATTATATTTTGAAACAATGCCTGGCACACATTACTCACGAAGAATAAAAAAACTTATATAAGCACAATTCATAGAAATGAATGCAACTATTATAGTACAAGACTGTTTCAATAAAGCAGGTCTATTTAAAACAGATTTTATTGCTCATTGCTTTATACTTTATATCTCTAATCAGATATGATGTACCACAGAGTAATGTTTCCAGTCGGTGGCTCCGTCAAAGTGCGTGACTTACCCATCGAAACGTTTCGTCGTCTTCAACAGGATCGTTGCGGTTGGCAAGATACAATGATTTCGGTCAGTTAAAGCCCATCAAACATAACAAAAGCAATTAAACAAAACATCAAATATTAAAATGTTCCTTTAAATTATTACATTCTGTCGAGTTACTCTCCTCTGAATAAAATTGGAAGAAACGAAAATTAATGATATATATAATGTATAAATTCGTATTATGTACAGTACCGTACTCCTGTCTCTTATACACATCTAGATGTGTATAAGAGACAGGTTCTACAGAGAGTGTTGTTATTTTACCGCATCTTCTTAGTGTATAATTACGAATCTTCTATTGAAATTTGATTCACATCTGTTGTACAGACTGCAGGTAAAAACGGTACTGTTGTAGCAATTGCAAAGGACGGCGACATCAAAGTGGAAACTGAAAGTAGTGGTTGCTGGTTTTATACTCCAATCTGTCTTGAAGCTGCTGATGGAGTGGACGATGATGGTAAGAAGGGCGAACAATTGTGTCGCCATTTAATGGCCCTTTCTGCTAAGCACCGCCTCTTGGATATTGTTGCTATGGTCCCGCAAAACTATAGCGTAAAATGTATGTAAACACGTGTGTTAATACGACACGCGCGTCCTCCGTGCCCTGTACTGATTGGTCAGTTGTTTGATTGACACTTCCTTGTGTTTTTGTAAGGCATTTTGCTCTGATTACCTCGTCCATCGGATTGGACGTTAAGCCGTTAGTTCCATTTGCCAAATAGCGCATATACACACGAAAAACACTTAATATACTATTCAAAAGCGTAGGAGATTGCGGTACTGGCCATTACAGGCGCTGTACTGTGGATGACACGAGCCTCCATCTGCAGCCGTTTTGTAAAACTGTCTTCTATAGATGCTACAGTTTGTGATGAAATGTACCGTGTAGAAATAGAGTTATTAATAAATGTATTTCCGTTCGTAACTATCGATTGGTTTCATAACAAAATAAAATGTTGAGTTTTTATTACAATGATAAAATCACGATTGGGTTGTAGGTGACGCAGGGGACCTTGTACGTGCGTTAATAGGGATGGCGTTAGCAGAACGCTTAGCACGTGATTTAATTGGTGGTGGACTTGGTGGCGGAGTTCTTGGAGCAGAAGGAGCCAACAGTGTCGAAGCCATGATCAAAGCTGTTGCTAAGGGCGACACCGATGGTCTGAAGCGACTACTAACCCAACATCCAGACTGGTTAGGTATGTTAACTGGATGAGTTATTATTATTCATATTATAAACACTATTGCAATGTAAAAGACGTGACATGACATTCATTAATAGGACCGTCCTATAGTTACATACAGTTTGCGTAATGACATTTATTTAGTACATAACCCTAAAATATCTATATATACGCTAATCTTGCAAAATGATGTAGAAAAAAAGGATGGAGAGTGAGAAAAACAAACTTAACCACGATCCTATCATAAACTATAATCTTGAAAATAAATAACCCAAAGCCGAGGAACCAAGGTAAGTGCACCGTTCGCATAACAATCAGTGGTTGCCATGCTTTCGTCATTCTTTGGAAAACAGTCCTTAGCTTCATAGGCCTGTGTTATTCAATAACCTACGCCTGAATTCATCAATGGATCATAGCCTTTTCAATCATGGCAGTCTGGTATGCTTCATTGCTGCTTCCATTTGCCCTTCATTTAGACGTTCTCTGGCAGTCTGGTATCCTTCATTGCTCCTTCCATTTCCCTTTAATATAGACGTCCTCTGGCAATCTTGTATCCTTAATTTCTTCTATTCCATCTATAAAAATGTGCAATTGTAACGACTACGAAAATAAAAGTAGCATATACTGATATAAATTTATTGAGGATCAATTATTCCATGTTTAAGATGATGTTGGTTGAAAATTTAATAAATAACAAATAAAAATTGATATCAACATTAATTTGCGTCTTTAAGGAACGAGCCAAATGCTACAGAATTATTGCTTAACAGTGGATGTACGGTGGATGCCGCTGATAAAAACGGGCTCACGTCATTACACTTGTGTGCTCTTCATGGTCAGAAAGAGTGTGCGCACTTCCTGCTCCAAGAATTATTTTTCTGCGACCGAAATGCTCAGGTACCTTGTACATTGCAATAAATATGATGATGTTAATGCTAAGAAATATTAAGAATAATAAAGAGACTGATGTCATATTAATGATAAAGATCCTAATAATTTTTAATAACGATGCGAGTTATAGCCTATTATGAACAATAATAATGACAAAAATGATGACAATGCTATTGGTAAATAGTAATGAAAATGGTAATGATAACGCACGATAGTGATGATATAATGATAAGTTGTTGAGTTTGAGCTATTAATGATTTGACGAAGAAAAGGTTATCACGCAACAGCAACAACCAGTCGACAGTCCGTTTAATGAGTTTGTATAGGCTACACTTGGCGTATCTAGGAGGATAAACTTGGAACGGCTTGGGGTTGGGGCGTAAATGTCCGAGTGGCTTGATAATTGTGAGTGGGTGTGTGCTGCTGGCAGAATAAAATAATATGAGCTGATTTTAACTACTTGAGCGTACTTTGTATCTGCTCAGCAAATTTCCAATAAGATGCGCCTGGGTGTCGGGGCGCTCTTCCAATAACCCATCCAGGTGGATGCGCCACTGGATATAAATATGAGTATTATTTTGTCTTTATGTATCTTAATGTGATTTTATGTATCCTTGTATCTTGAAGCACAAGGATGGAGATACGGCCCTGCACTGTGCAATCGTAAAGGACGAGAGAAGCATGATCAACCTACTAGTTCATGACAATCAAACAGATTTTAAGATCTGTAACAAACGAGGCTTCAATGCACTCCAGTGGGCGTCTCTCAAAGATAATGCCCAGTAGGTTCTCATCTGCATCGAATTCGAATATCAATTTACTTTTTTTTCTGTATTCATCATAATCATCAGCATTATCATTATCACTATCATCCGTCTCATCACCAACATCACCACCATCATTATCAGCCAGTTAGCCGTATCAACATTATTATCATCATTATCATCATCTGAGACAAGTATATAAATATATAGGTCTTGGGTCCGAATCACTAAAGCCAAGCTTTGTATTCTTGGGATACCTAGCCCTCGGCCAGCTGATGCTTAGCATTTTAATGCATGGCACAAGCATTTACATTG